TGCATAAACTGCTTCTACGTCTTCATCACTGTAAGATGATGTAGGCATGTAGACCTGCACTAATACCGTTCTTACCGGCTTTGAGTTTAATTTAACCATAACTATCCTATCGCTTTTTTGTAAATAACTTTCTACACTCTGCCCTACTTTCCTACGCATTACAATTCCTACACCTGAATTACCTTCTACAGATCCTGTATGTATTACTCTAAAGTCCCCACTCCAGAAGACTCCAGCTTCGGGCCAACGGACTTCACTTATACCTACTATATCTAATTCTAATCTATCCATCTCTATTTTTAAATTTTCTAATTTCCCTACCTGCCTCATTGACCTAACATTCCACGCTCCGACTCGTGAAACATTGCACCTATCCCTATTGCACTTATTGATGATATCCCCCGAGGTAGTCCCCGCCTGGACATCCGAATGGGGGACTAGTTTACGTCCGGAGTGCTTTACCCCAGAGGACGCCATCATTTAATTTCAGTAGTTGAACTTTTTACTTGGGATTATAATGTGGTGGTTTCCCGTTGCCTTCCACATCGCAGTATTGTGCATCAGAGAGCCATACCGATCCTCGTGATCTCTGCCACCCTGAGTACTGTCTTTTTTTTTTTGTTTAAATAACAATCTAAATAGCATACGACATTTGGTTGACATGAGGCTGTTTTAACACACCTTGTACAGATACTAGATATCTGGTTGCACTTAATTGTTTTATCACAGTACATGACACTAACGGTGCTTTTTTCAATACGTAAATTTACTCTATCACCTTCATGAAACAATGTTGACACTGTCTTGCGGTGTTGGTTTGGCAAAATTCAGGAGAGTAATGTTTTTGGTTTATATGACAATAAGAATTCATTTGGTGATTTACCCGTAGCAGTTGAGGGAGTATTTCTGTAGTTGAACAGAAACGCTGTTATTTTGGCGAACAAAGTGCTTTTCTCCAACTCTGGGGTTGTTACAGGCGAGCTTTTTAGGTATTCAACTATTTTTTTATTGCCTTTTTGCAAGTTTGTACACCTCTTTCCGCCAACCCATTGCTTTGGGGGTGATATGGTGGGGAATGAAGAATTGTAATATTATACGAATTACAAAACTTATAGTATTGGTATTATATATTTAGTAATAGCGAATATTATCGCTAGACCTTCCCTATCTAACTGAGAGTAGTTTTGTTGTGTTTTGGTGAGTGAACATGACGCAAACATGACTGGTTTTTCTACTATTGTATCTTTAAGTTTGATTTCATGGGCTAGAACTGCTTCTAACCCTACTGGACTAGCGTCACAGCCAATTATTATTGGTAATGTTGGGTCGTAATGTACAAGTAACAAGTCTGATGTTAGAGATTTCTTACATAACCGAAATGCTTTTTCACATTCCGTTGACAACACAAATGTCCTATTTTTTTCTGTAAGTTGACGTAGTGGTTTTGCTATTGAACTTAAGTTAGGTATGAATATAGCATAAAAATTTAACAATCCCAGAAAGGATCTTACCTCCCTTTGGTTTTGTGGTACTCTAGCGTTTTCAATTGCCTCAATTTTTAATACAGATGACTGACGACCTTTTTCGGATATGGTGAACCCTAAGTACTCTACTTTATTAACGAACCATGTACATTTGGTTTCGCGAATTTGAACTCCAAACTTGTTTAACCTGTCTAATACTTTTACAACTGTGTTATAACAGTCTTGCTTATCGCTTCCCTTGATGAGTATATCATCGATATAACAAGAAACCTGTGGAATGCCGTTCAATATATAGTCCATGGTTATCTGGAAGATTGCAGGCGCACTTGCTAGACCATATATAAGTCGCCTGGACATATATAATCCTCTATGTGTGTTAATTGTGACTAATTCTTGTGACTTTTCATCTAATTCCAATTGGGTATAGGCATCAGACAAGTTCAAGACCGTGAAGACTTTTCCATTATTTAAATTTGCAAAAATATCTTCGGGTTTGGGTAACGGATTATTTTTCTTTTTAACTAACAGGCAAGGTGATGCATGTTCGGAATGGGTGACTTTATAGATTTTATTTTGATTTTCCAGGTTGTCTAATATTGTGTCGATTATCTCCAGTTGAGCAAATGGTAAATTGTATGCCTTATGAAAGATGGGTTGTACATTTTGTTTGAGCACTATTTGTGCTTTGACTGCAGTTATGGGTTTGCTGGACGTGTTATCAAACACTTTAGGGAATTTAGTTTTCAGGACTTCTATTATATCCGTATAATTATTGACGTGGTTAATTGTAAAATGTGATCTCCATGATGGAAATAAGAGATCTAACCAGTCTCTACCTAGTAATGGACGGAAGGGACTGTCTGCTTGACAAACTATTATTTCTGCTTTAAACTGATTTTCTTTGATTCCAATTTCCACCTCTGCTTGTCCAATCACTTTAATTGGTCCTGCTATTGACTTTAAAGATACTGAAGTATTGGATATAGGATGTTGGGGAAATACAGTATCGAAATCTGTATCAGTTATTAGAGTTTTGCCTGCACCTGAGTCTATTTCCATTAAAACAGATTTATTGTTTATAACTATATTGGCTACTGCTGATTTATTTGATGTTTCCATGTGGTTGACATTAGGTGCGTTTATGTGGACTTGGTTTTTTATTTCTTCCTGTATGGTGTTGATATGGAATATTTCTGGTAACAAAAGGGAATCCACCAATTCTTCTTCAGTTGATTGAGTGGGTGCTGACATATGCTGGATTGAATTCTGGGACGTTGATGCTACATCATAAACCGTATTGACTGTATTTTTGCTTCTGCATACCTTTGAAGTGTGCCCCATTTTATTACACAGATAACACTGCCAATTTTTTGCTGGACAGTAATTTGGGTTATGTAAGCGACCACTTCGATAACAACCATTTAGTTGTTGCCTATTTGTATTGGCATTTTGTTTGGGCTGTTGTGTAGTTGGGTTACTGGTAGCTTGTGTTGACTGTCTGTGTAGTGTTTGATTCATTTGTTGTCTGTTGTTATATTGGCTTTGGTTGGGTTGACAATTAAAATTTTGGTGTTGTGTTATGGGACGGTTTCCTGGAGAGAATTGACCTCTTCTATTCGTAAAACTGTTTCTTTGGATGTTGTTGACTGCAAGAGCCCTGGCTAATAGACGCGATTGAATTTGGATTGCCTCATTTTGCAAAATAATCTGTTTTGCCATTTCCAGATTAAGATTTGGAGTGCTGAGAAGTTTTCTCCTTGTATTTACATTTGATATCAACAACAAGTCTGTCCCTTAATGTGTCGTCCAGATGAGCCCCATATTCACATGGAATTGCAAGTTCCATCAATGTGTCTATGAAATCTGTGGCAGACTCATTGTCTCTTTGGACTTTTTGATTTAAGTTATACCTGCACGTTGCCAATCCTCGTCGCCAAACTGTTATATATTTGACTTGTACACAATATACACTATTCCGGACTAACTAATACTCTGGTGGTTTAAACAGTTTATTTACACAGTATACAATATTTACAAGTATGGACGACTAACAGTAATATACATAAACGAGAACAAGGCATATGACAACGACACGACTGACTAACGACGACGACAACGGGAGTCTAGGAGACCTTTCCGCACTTTTCCTTGATAGTTCCGGCTTACTCCTCGCTGATTAGGTAGCGCCATTTTGAACGACCACTACTTCTATGTTTGAACATATGAAATAACATAGATAGGGAATGTTTGCTTAAACCATCTAAATATTATAACTATCTTATTTTATAAATGTAACATATATCTGTTATATATTATATATAACAGACTGCACTCCACGCCGGATCATCTTCAGGCCAAGTAGTGGAGCATTTCCACATGACTTCCAAGGCAGCGCTTAGGTGCGAAAGACTTCCTAGACAGGTTTTGACAACGTCGGATCACGCCAAGCACCATCTATTCCAATTTAAGTAGCTCAGTACCTGCTCGCACGTCTTCCACAGGGTTGACGCAGTCCGCAAGCATGTCAACGGAGAAGAGAAGGCCGTATTCACGGACAGCCTCAAACCAGCGTACTTGCATGTCGCTGATTTACCACAAAAACCTCTTGAGAAATCAGTCTAACAAGAGCCAACAGCCCAGCAGCTGACGTTATCTCAGGCCGCTACAGAACATAACGACATGCTGCTACCGCGCCTAACCTCCATTCTACAGCCTCGTGTCAAAAACTTATGAAATATAATAAACGCTCCACGATCGTAAAAAAATAACAGCTGTTTTTGATTGATTAGTGCGTTTACAGTTACGCGGCAACCTTAGTAATCTGATAGCTTTAAACCAGTTTAAATTTTAAAGCACACATTTTTAAAGATTTAAAATAAAAATGCTTCTAAAATAGGAAAAGCTATGGGTGGTAGAGTCGTGTGAATGTGGCACCCGATATAAATAATTCACTGATTCTTAATATGTAAATAACATAATTATGCGTCAATTAATATTGTAAAATAAAAGGAAAATTGTTTCGGGTACAGGTGGAAATTCAATGTGGATTTATTTAAAAACTATTGAAGTTATATATAATTATTAAGGTAAGCAGAGTTTATCTATAAATTATTTATTAGTAATAATTACAAATTATATATAATTTTTCAATGGCATTACTAAAACAGGTACATGGGCTCGTAACTATACATTACTGACTCATGTCATATCCATCTCTCTCGGGATAATGCGTAAGCGTGTCATGAAAGAGATAGCACTAGTCCGAAACCATACGCCATCTCCCTCACTTTTCGAGTCAAGAAATTATTCCGACTTATCCGACATACGGCTAAGGCACGTCCATTAATATATGTCTATGTTATAAAGCATTAACCTATTATCTATGGCATTAACCTGCCTATGACCATACTGTTTTCTATGATTCTCCAATGGCACACAAGTATTAATAATAGTAATGCAACATTCGTTATTGTATGTAATTATTACTAATAAATAATATGAAGATAAATTCCGTTTATCATAATAGCTCAGTCTTCAAGCACAAGGACGCCAATTGACAACAATCAAATTATGAGATCTTTAGTAGTGTTTAAATAAATCACGAGTTCTGTGGCGTACAAGTCGACCGTTCAAACCACAGCAGAATTTTTTCAGCCCTTTAACTCTTTAAGTTTCATTTTTTACTTGTTAAATTTCATTCTATTCATTATAAAACATACCATACTTTAATATTTTTGCTATTTAAATTTATTATTAGAATATATATATAGATAATTTATACAACTTATAGAAATGCAAATTATATTTAACAAAAGTGTAGAGTAGAACATTGTTCTAGTGATAATAAAAAAATTCTGATTTAAAAGTGAAATTCTTATGTACCTATACGTATGTATATTAGAAACAACAATTTATGAACACATGATATTAACTTAAGGAATGACATTAATTATTCATTCAAACGGCAACTTGCTGTTATATTAATGTTTTATATAAAAACTTTCATTGAACTTCCAACTTTTGTACGACAAATGGGACAGACTCTTACTCGTGATTGGCTAATTTGACTGTCGCAGTTACTACATAGACACACATGCCGACATGGAAGTAAAACTATATTCCTAGGATGATCTAAGCATACACTACACTTCAAACTGCGTAATTCCAAAGAGGAAAATTGTGGTGCTTCAGTTTGTAGGTCATTGTTAACACTAGGCACATCCACTGTCACCATTCTTATTTGATTATGAAATCTGAGTCTAATTCGAGATAAACACAAACGATAGCAGAACATACGAAACCTTAAAACAACAAATATCAAACACATACCAATTATTAAACCAGCTATGGCTTCCGGAGGGAAATCAAGAAACAAATTAAAATAACTCAAGCTCATTTGCAAAAATTTAAAGAAAGTCTGGATTTCTTCACAAGTTTTTTGAAAAGCATAGCCAATGTAATACATAAACATAGTTACTAATGATACAACAACAAAAGGAAGTAATGTTATAACAAACCATATTCCAAATCCAATTAAAATAGCAATCTGCTTAAAAGATTGAATAATAACTCTTAACAAAACAAATACGTTATTAAATATAATCAAGATAAATCCATATAAGCTACTTGGTAATAAAATAACACCACCCACTGAATACTTAATACCCATTACAATAGCAGTAATGCTGGCTGTGATGAAATGTGAGAGACTACCACCAATCGTTTTACAAGTTTCAAAGAAAGAGTTTAAATCGTTTGCAAATATCCAAAAATCTTCAATCAATATATCACAAACAACTAATATTGCCTCAACTGCTCTTTGTATGGTCTTTATAAGAACCAAAATTCCGCTAATTATAACTTGACCGGTACCATAACTACAAATTAATATTAAACCAGTGCACTTCTTGATAAACACAATAACTGCAAAAAGAAAATTGAGCATCTTCTTGGTATTACCAAATAGTTAACCGTGCAGTTTTTTAAATAAACATAAAAACATTTTCACTCCTTTCGTAACTAAAGCTTTGTGCAAATACAGGTTAGAATTTCAAATATATTAGGGAATTGTAGAGATTTATGATGTTTTCAATATTCCAGTTTTCTAGACAGAAAACACACCAGTGCGTGCACTGTGTCTGTCGAATACTTCCGATTTTTACCGAAACATTTAAATTTCAAATGTAATATTCGCACCCTAGATATACGCTGTCATTTGTTTTTCTTTATATCCTTTTCTTAAAAATAAAACTGCACTACACAATCAGCTTATCGGATTAAAAAAGATTGCCACGTAAATAACAAACGCACTAAAAGTAAAACAAAAATACTGGTATGCAAGGGAAAGAAAAGTAGGGAAAGAGTAAATATAAAGATATGAGACGAAAACTTAGAAGTGGCCGATTTTAGGTGTCTAGGAAGTCAGATAAGTCAGGACGGAAGGAGTAGTAGGGATATAAAGCAGAGCATAGCATAGGGTAGAGTCGTCTTCAACAAAAAGAAGTCACTTCTACGGTCGCGAACGGTTAATTTAGAAATTCGAAAAAGATTATTATTATTTAGAGCACGGCACTGTACGGGTGCGAAACATGGACAGTAGGCGCGGCGGAAAAGGTAGGTAGACCTAGATTAGATTACTGTACGCAAATAGTTAAGGATATGGGTTGTTCTAGTTTTAGAGAAATTCGAAGAGTAACTCAGGATAGGAAAGAGTGGACGTGCGTGTCGAAACAGTCTTAGGATTGACGACTTAAATTATTATCGGTTGCTAACGGTCTTATGATGATGAATGCAAAAATTGCTATTTGTATTGTATTTGCGCTTGTTAGTTTTTTTTTATTTGTAATTCCCCCTTGATTCCCTTTGCAAAGTTGAGTAGTGTTGACCTAAAAGTTTTTAACCATAGATAATAGATATACAAAGGATAATAGATGGTCGAGTCGAATGTAACTAATTTGCGCGCCCTCCAGCACGTTTAATCAATAACAAATAAAAAAGGCACCCACTTTAAATGTGTTAGTAAATTATTATTTTTAGTAGTGTACAAGTTAAAGTGAAAAATGGACAACAAACAATGCAATTTTCATTTTTTATAAAAGAAAACACAGAAAATACATTGTCACTTGGCCATTTTTCAAATTAACATAAGAACTTTGAAGTTTTTAAGTGTAATACTAATAGTAACTGAAAGAATTATTGAATGTAAAAAAGATACTTGTACAAAATAAAATATTTTATGTAATTTGAAGAGACAATTGAGGAAATAGAAAAGGCCACAAAACAGAAGAAACAGTAATACAGTTTAACTTAATTGTAACAGTTTAAATTTTTAAGAATTTTCGGTAGTTAAGTAAAACCTTTTAATAATATACTATCAACATTTTAATACAATTTCAATTAAATATTACCACGAAAAAAATGATGAAGGTAAATAATCGTTAAGTTTTAGAAAATACCAGAAATGGCGCGGTAAACGCCATCTATAGTACGATACTACATTTTAGGATTACAGACCACTTCGAATTATTTTATCGTTAAGTTGTAGCAACTTACGTGTTCTGATAGAAATATATGCAGAACATTAAAAGAATATTGAAGAAAACGGGTTTTAGACAATTTCAACAAGACTGGGTATTGTTGGATTCCCTCGCAGAAGGACCTATCAACTAAAACCCCTCTACCTTATAATAGAAAAGTGGTAACAACGGTACACCTAAAATTATACAAAAATTAATGATAAAAATCACCAGTCTCTACATGAGACATACGAAGTGTGATAACTGATGATTATAGAAGCGATATGCAGAAGGGGTCGAAGTCAACTGAAGAAGGAGCATCATCGTCGGTGACTACGAAAACAGTATAAATAATGAAATTTTTGTGGGATAGGGAGGGAGGGATGAAGGGAAATGGAAGAGGCGATGAGGGAGACGGAGGGGCAGGGGGGGACATTTTGAACTCCCTTACCCCGGAAGAATTGGCGGATTATGAACAGTTGGGAAAATAGTTAGAGTTGGGGTACGGCGAGGCTCATTTAACAGCGGTGTATCACATCCAACTGAAAATCCATCAGCAGAAACCAACGGAATCCCTAAAAGAACTTGAGGCCGATATTGCGAGACTGTCCTGACTGGCCTATTTTAATACTCCAGCAGAATTGAAGGAGAGATTGGCAGTGGAGGCATTTACTGATGGACTTTGGGACAGTGACACTCAACAACGAATACGCCTTGACCGACCTAAGACGCTAGCTGATGCATTGGCACGTACATTGAAGTATGAAACTGTTAAACCGCCCTATAGCAAACAGGTAACGGTTCAGCTACTGTGTGAAAAAACGGATTCGTCAGAATCTGTAGAAGAAACCGTCTGCCGAATCATCTCCAAGTTGGATAAAGAAACTCGAAAGCTAAGAAGTTGGAATTGCGACGAACTGATTCATACCAGGAGGCAGTGTAGGAAAAGTACTCCTTCCTCAAGTACTCGACGTTAACAGCAGAAAAACTAGATAGGGTCGACGTAAAGAGGCAAACGTTGACCCACGGACAAAAAGATACCGAGTTTATCGCATTTACGAAGACCTTGAAGCACCAGAATGACAGTCTACTCCTAGGTGGAAAAATAAATGGACGAAAATGCGTGTTTCTTTTCGTCACTGGAGCTACTAGGAGCATAGTAAAACCCAGCGTAGTCGAGAATTCTAACCAGGTCGTCAACTAAGTGGTTGTTCATGGCGAAGCTAACGTGTCACTTGAAATCGGTAGAACTGTCTTTGACCATCGAGTGCTTGTGGCAGATACTAAAGATGACGTAATTCTTGGGCTGGACGTTTTACAAAAATACGATTTTGACATGAATTTAACTAGACGCGTTCTGAGCCTAAATTGCGAAGACTGACAAGAATGGTAGGGGAAGGACCAATATCGTAAAACACAAGATCAATACCGGCAACACGTAGCCTATTCGTCAAAGAGCTAGACGATTGCCCCTGGCCAAGAAGGAAAAAGGAGAACGAATAATCCACGGAATGCAGGAGACCGGCATAATTGAGTCATCTTCAAGCCCATGGACATCACCGGTAGTATTGGTAAAGAAGAAGGATGGGACAACCCGTTTTTATGTGGATTCCCAACAGCTCAACAACGTAACTAAGAAAGACCGTTATCCACTACCACGGATTGATGACACCTTGGATATGCTTTCTGACACGAAAATGTTTTCCACACTTGATTTGAAGAGCGGATACTGGCAAGTTGCTTTAGATGCTGCCACGACGTTCGAAAGGTTGATGGAGAAAATCTTGAGTGATCAAATTGGAAAGACCTGCTTGGTATACTTGGATGACATCATAGTGATTGGAAGCACCTTTAATGAACATCTGCAGAATTTGCAAGCGGTATTCCAGCGGTTACGTGAGGCCAATTTGAAACTCAGTCCGAAAAAGTGCCGTCCTTTCCGCGAAGAAGTTTCTTACTAGGGACATGTTGTATCATCGATGGGCGTGGCCGTGGATCCAGAGAAGATAAAGCCCGTGAAGGAATGGCCAGGGACTGAAAATGTCCACGACATAAGAAGCTTTTTGGGAATGTGCGCGTAGTATCGTCGCTATGTTTGCGGATTCGCCAATATCGCCAAATCATTGACACGTTTAACCGAAAGTGACCGCAAATTGCATTGGGATTCGGATTGTCAAACGGCATTTCAGAGTTTGAAGCAGGCTTTAATCACAGCCCCCTTTCTGGTATATCCTCGGCCCAATTGAATGTTCATTTTGGACGCCGACGCCAGCAATGTGCGACTGGGAGCCGTTCTTTCGCAGTTACAAGATGGCCAAGAGAAGGTAATGGGTTATTTTAGCAAGACCTTATCAAAAGCTGAAATAAACTACTCTGTCACTAGGCGAGAGATACTGGCTGTAGTCAAAGGTGTAGAACATTTTTATAAATACCTATATGGACGAAAATTCGCCCTACGCACCGATCATGCAGCTTAGATTGGCTTCTGAATTTCAAGAATCCGGAGGGCCAGGTAGCTCGATGGATTGAGAAGCTACAGGAATATGATTTTGACGTAGAGCACCGGCCTGGAACTGGACACAAGAACGCCGATACACTTTTCAGAAGATCTTGTCAAACAGACTGCAAGCAGATTGATCTAATGGAAAAGAATGAAGCGGCGATTCGACGCGTCACGGTAATCGATGACGAGTGGTTATCTGAAAATATAAAACACGACCAAGAAAACGACCAACGTGGCAGCAAATTTCTTCCTGTACCCAAGTACTACAATCGTTATGGGCTCAGTGGGACTCAATGGTTTTGGAGGATGGCATCCTTGAAGCGTGTTGTTGAAAGTCCAGATGGAGAGGAAGATAGGAAGCATCTGGTTATTCCTCGAAACAAGGTTAGAGAGGTGTTGCAGTATCTTCATAATGGATCATCTGGTGGCCATTTTGGAGTGAATAAGACGCTTGGAAAACTTCGAGAGCGATTTTATTGGGTGAACAGTAAGGAAGATGTCAAGAATTGGTGTAAGAAGTGTACCACCTGTGCTGCGAGTGATGGACCACAAAAAAGGTCAAGGACGCCAATGCGTCAATACAATGTCGGTGGCCCCTTCCAACGAATCGCAATCGTTGTGGCGGGTTGCCCTATTATACTAAGTGGGTTGAAGCCATTGTCCTTCCGAATCAAGAGCCGGAAACCATAGTTGAGGAGCTGATGAAGGAGTTGATCAGTCGTTTTGGGGTGTCCTTGGAGTTGCTCTCAGACCAAGAGAGGAATTTCGAATCGGCTATATTCCGTGGAATATGCAAAATCCTAGGAATAAGAAAAACTCAAACTACTCCACTACATCCACAATCGGACGGCATGGTAGAGCGAATGAACCGGACCTTGATTAAATATCTCTCCAAGGTAGGGACTGGGACTACTATTTTCCTTTATTTTTAACGGCATACCGTTCATCTGTTTACGAAATGACTGACGAAACACCTGCCAATATCCTTTCTGGAAGGGAGTTACGACTACCTTGTGACCTAAAATTCGCCTGTAAACCAGAAGATGACTTGGTTGGAGAAGATTATGCTACCAACCTCCGAAGAAAGTTAAACAATATCCACGAGTCAGTTCATCTGCATACGCAGATTGCTTGTGACAGGATTAAAGAAAACTACGATATCAAGGCTACACCAGGTGGTTACCAAACTGGAGATCTTGTTTGGTTGTATAATCCTCGTCACCTAAGTTCCAACAGAATTGGGAAGGATCCTATGAGATAGTGAAGAGGATTAATGACGCGATCTACCGAATTAGGAAAACTCCAAATGGAAAGCCGAAGGTAGTCCATTTTAATTGCTTGAGGCGCGGACCAGATTAGTAAGAACTATTCCATTCGAAGGGTTCATGAAGGAAGGCCCCCATCTTAACAGTAGGTTTGGAGTGACGCAAGAAATCCGACGAGACCTCTTTGCTATATCAAAGAAATATTCTCTGGCCCATTGCGTTTTAAAGGATCTCAGAATGAGCCGTGGTATCACGTCCGAGTTCAAACGCAGATTTGGCGGTTTGGAACATCTTGAAGACCAAGTACAGAAGGGAAGAAAACTATTGTGCTTGCCTGACGGACGACGCAATAACTATTACCTAGTAATTAAAGGAAGATGCTCTTATAACCCAACTTATAGAGACCTTTGGGACGCAGTAATGGAAATCCGCGGACATCTTCTGGAGAATAACCTACAGAAACTGGCGATTCCAAAGCTTGGTTGTGGACGGGACAACCTAGATTGGAGGATTGTACGGAACATAATCGCAGTCCTGTTCCGCCGTACTGGAATAGACATTTTGGTTTGCAGTAATAACCCGAATCGGACGAATCATGAGAAAACCGTGGACTGTTACTTCTATTCCCGGAGTGGATGTTGTGAAGGCGAGAACTGCAGATTTAGGCACGATCCTGCGAAACGGAAAATGCAATTGTTTCTGGACGAAACATCCTTAAGGAGGGGGCAGTGTAGCGAGCATGAGTGTGTTTGTGTGCGATCGGACACACGTGTGCGTGAACGGCTTATCGATTCGCCGATTAGCCGCGGGCGCCTTTCTTCATGTGCGCCGTATTTGTAAATGTGTGTCGTACCTGCGTTCTGGAAAAGCAGTTAAACAGTTAAAAAAAAAACTATCCAGATGTTTCGAGAAGGTTCCCAAAAGTAAACAAAAGAGTATTTAAAGGAAGGGACGATCGCTGAGAGGGTAGAAATAAATTGACCGGTGCAGAAGTGAATCCAGAAATAAATTGACAGTGATAGAAGTGAAATAAATAGCGCAGTGAATAGTGATATATCAGCAGTACTGTAAATAAATAGAATAATTCATTACCTAAGTTAGTAATAATTTAATAGTGTTTATAAGTTCTTTAAAAATTAGTGTAAACAAATAATTCTTGTCGTTATCAGTCTTAGAAGATAATTTTGTTAAACCCACGAACATTACAGTATTAACTGGCATATACAGTAACGTGTATAACATAATACATGCGTTACTTTTTTCCTAAGTAACAATGCTGTGTTGGTTTCCCGATGTGTTTATTTGTTATTGAATGTTACTTTTATCGCTGTTTATTGTACAAAGTACCTATCGCAGACCATATCACTATATATTTATATCAAAACATTATATACAACAAAACAATCAATGCTGTAGTGCAGAGCCGGGCAAACTCGGATCTTTTGCATCCCGAGTGATCCTCAAGGTTAACCAAGTGGATCCTCATTGATCCTGCGAGTGCGAGTGAGATGATTCTTTCCTTTTCTTATCCCTTCCATTTCGTAGATGAGTCCCCTCTTCCATAGCCAAACCCAATAGTTTTGCGAACGTAGTAACGAAAATTATTATTTAAGTTGCGAGAGTGGCTTCGCTCGTCTAGGGGATGAAGGGGCTTGATATGGGAGTGGAGGGGAGAAGAAAAAGACAAAACAAAATTATTCATTACTGCTTACTCTCTCGTACTCATTGAAGGGTATGGAGTGACTCAAACTAACCTCATGTAGCAGCTCCTGCGAAGTTAAAGTTTGCCCGGCTCTGCTGTAGTGTGTAGTGCATGAGTACCTATGCATTGCCTTAATTTGTCTCATTGTTATAAAGCATGGTATGGCTAAGGTAGCAGCCCGAAATTTATTATTTTCTTTAAATTGACTTTTTAAAAGGAGCGATAGGTTAATAAATTGCTTTTAAATTCACTTTCCAAATATGAAATTGCCCCAGCTGTATCTTTCACTTTTAAAAATTTATTGTTCGTGTCTTAGACCACTGTAGTGGAAAGGGTTAAAAATATTATTTTTTTTCCTTCACTCTTACCCTCTCAAATGTTTCTATTTGATGTAAAAAAATTCTCACCAAACATGAGCGCTATTGCTGGATTTTAAGAAGTCGCTCTTTGATTGTACTTTCCTGTTTGGTTAACACGGAAATTTTTTATTTACCTATCAGCTCAATTTTCTTCACATAACCACGATCTTCTTAAAGCTGACTCTTTGACCTTTCCAAAATTTCAGAGGATCTTCAACAAGGGCTTCTGGTATTGTTGACAAAAAGGGCATGGTCTAACCTCTTTTCAGATGAAGAATGACTTAGAAAGACCTCTAGAGGTCTAAAATTGGTAAGATGTTGATGGATAGACCATGACCCAGATGTGGGAAGCCGTGACCTAGATCTGAGGACTCGTTAGGTCCACTACTTTTAATATTAATTAATCTACTTCTCTTTATACATCCCGCGAGGAGAATGACAATACTGGAGTCTTTTAGTCTCTGAAAAATTTGTTTCAAGTGAATTATGTTTTCATGTAACGATTTGGAAAATATAACAATGTTGTCCGTGTAAACAAAGGCAAATTTATATAAGTAGTCACGTAATACCGTGTCCATCATGCGTTAGAATGTAGCGGGTGCGTTTTTGATTCCGAACGGCATACGTACATATCCGTAATGACAGTTGTTAATGTTTTTTATGTATTGTCTTTGTGAAGAGGGATTTGTAAGAAGCCGGAATTTAAGTGTAAAATAGAGTAATGGGAACATTTTCTGAAGAATCTAAAATGTCTTCAATTCGGGATAAAAGGTATTTGTCTTCAATGGTTTTTTATTAATTTCACGAAAATTTCTTTTTTCCTGAGACATCCATCTTTTTTGGAACTATTCAAACAGCGGAAGCGCAAAGGGAATTGGAATGTTTAATAACACCGACATTATGTAACTTTTTGACCTGATTTTGAATTTCATCTTTTGGATATAACGGAAATTATTTTGATAAACTGGAGAATCATCAGTTGTCCTGATCTGATGCGTCACTTGTGTACTCGCAGTTAATTTTTGTTGGTAGTCGCTAAAAATAGAATTAAATTTTTTAGAAAGATTTGTAAATTTATTTTTTTCTTCATTATATATGTGGCCTAATCGAAGTTGTTTAACTGCGTCTCAATTTAAATTGTCTTCAATCAGGGTTTTGTCTGAGTAAATGTATTGGTCAGGGGTATCTAAATGCATAGGCTCGTTGATGTGAATATTATTGAAATATTGCACATCAGCAAAACTGTTATCTACATTGTACATACCTGATATGATCTGTTCCGTTGTCAAGAATAACACAACTTCCCTTGTGTAAATTACCTAGGATTTTATAAGTAATTGTTAAAATTTTATCTCTAGTCCCATGGAAATTTTTTTTCGTGTGTGTTCGGTAAACAAAGTATTGTTAGAATTATTTATAATTGCATTCATTTTAGTCAAGTCAGCATGACTAATTAATACGTTGAAAGTTTTATGAATATCGACAACCGAAAATTCAATATATGTTGGTTCATCAAATTTGTGTAACAAAGGAATGTATAATTTATACTGTCCTTTGGTTTTTCCGTTGGCCATTTTAACTTCAAAGGGTTCCTCATATAAATAGCCAGAAAAATATTTGAAAGTCAAAGGAGAATTCATGACAGAGTCACCACCATAGATAATAGGTCACCACTAACAATTAAAATTTTGCAGTCCTATTCGTTTGAGTATATGTATGACAGTCTCTACTCTATAGGTGTTTAAAATAAAGCATTATTAATATCTTCCAAATCTATGTAATTTTGTCTGTCGATGTCTGGTTTTCTTCGGTGGTATATTCATCAGAAATAGTGTCGGTGATTTTGATTTAGAGAGTAATTTTATCGTCTGGGAGAGTTAAACGTCGACGTTCACTAATGGACATGCCTTAGCGGTCATAATTGTGGTACAACAAAAGAAAGAGATGGAACGAAGTTTCGGATAATGTCCATCTCTCTCACGATAGTGCGTGTTATGAAAGAAATAACACTAGTCCGAAACCATATGCCATCTCCCTCACTTTTCGAGCCAAGAAATTATTACAACGAGATACGGCTAGGGCGCGTCCAATAATATATGTCTATGGTAGCTACTACATTATCTATGGTAGCTACTAAGGATTTGGCTATTAATAAGCTGCATATTGTCAATAATCTTTTTACTTTAAACTAAACTCTGAGTTTAACATTTACTTAATGCGATACAATTTAATTTGACGATTTTTTTGCTAATCTATTACAATTTTTTCAAATTTACTACAATTTTACGGGCCTGGCACAATAATCTTACTTTCAGAGGTGCCAGGTTGCCAACACTCAAGGTTCAAGGATTATCCCTATGGATGAACATTGCTTCGAAAACCAGTTAAGTTTTGCTATTTGGTCGGAAGTATTATAAGCTGTTATTTTATATTTTTTATGGATAAGAAACTCATAATAAAAGTTTGCGAAAGTTGATGGAAAATATGATTCTAAGCTTAAATTGTTAATAATTGAAATAAATATGTCTATGAAAATGTGGCTTGTAGACACTACTTTTTTTTAAGTTGACAAGTTGTCATCAGTTGACATTATTATTAGAAACGTTTCTTAACGGTTGATTTTGAAATTTAAAAAGGGAAAAAGAAAGTGGCAATCATACATTAAATGTTATGCGTAGTCATGAAGTAAGTAGAGTATGTGTGGAGATGTAAAAAATAAAAGTGAAAAAAGAACAACTGCAGTGAAAGTCGAATTAAATAAAAAAACTAAAACCATGAGTGAATGTGCACCTTCAGTTTCTCAAAAAAGTGGGTTTATATTGAATGAAAACTCTTCATCAAACGTCACTCAACATGAAAATATAAGAAGTAATAGAAAAAAGCAAATAGATGCTGAAAGTACCGGAGAACATGTCAAACAATGTCGCAATGAAAATAGAAAGACATGGACACTTTCAGATTTTGATATAGGAAGGGCTTTAGGAAAAGGAAAGTTTGGAAATGTTTACTTAGCACGTGAAAAGAAATCTAAATTTGTAGTCGCCTTAAAAGTTATGTTTAAGAAAATGATTAAAAATTTACAAAATGAACATCAAGTCAGAAGAGAAATTGAAATTCAGTCTCACTTGAGACATCCGAATATTTTACGACTTTATGGCTACTTCCACGATGAAGAGAGGGTTTATCTGATATTAGAGTATGCTCCTGGAGGTAAGACAATTTTAACTGCAATGAATTTATGACCTAGACAGATTTAATTATAAATTCAATTTGATTTTTGTTTAAAATAATGGATGTGTTTGATGAAAAAAATTAAACAAATGCATCATATTTTTTCTAGAAGTAAGAGGGTGTACAATATACCGAGGAATTGTTAAATAATACAATATGTGGTTAAATTACATCATAAAATGTAATAATTGTTTTACCATAAGTACAATATGTCTGTGCGTTTGTCTATCCCTCAGGCAGCTGTGAATTAAATCGTTTAAAATTGCAGTTTTTGTTTAAAGATTGTAGAAACACCACAAAAGATACGTAAACTGACATAAAAGCTATCGATTTAAATGTTAAAGAACTAGGGTTTTGTAAAATGCCATCCTACTTGATTAAGCTGTTTAAAAGATATTAACCAATGAAAATGAAAAAGAAATTTTTTGTGTTGCAGTCTATGGTTTCCATAATAAAGACTCATAATATTATATTCTGGAACTGGTTGACTATCAAAACGTTTAAGTAATTAATCGCATAACTGCATATTCTAATGCATAATTAAGTTATTGTTTCGTTAAAGTATTAGGTTTAAGTATTTTGGTCAATTTAAATTTTCTTTGCATATTTCTTAGTTAAAAATTATTATTATGTTCATCTGGCTTTCTCAGTTTTCACTGGCTACCATTGAGCAAGTGAAGACTGGTGATACCAAAGAATATCATTCATAACTTTTGGGATATAATATGAAAATCAATTTACTATTATTGAATTTTTTATGGAGCTATCAGTACTTCTTGCCTTGAAGTATAGTCGGTGATTATTAAAAACTCCGCTTCTAATTTAACCTATTGTGTTACTTGGAAAGGGGGATATGACAGAAGTGTTAAGCAATCTGCGTACTATTCCATATATATCAAGGACTACTGATTTTTGTAGACTGATGTGTGTAAGCTTATGTAGTTTCAACTCTACAGGCTAGCATTTAATGTTTTGAGTGTAATGCCTATTGATAAAATTATTATTGGAATAATTCGAATTGTGTTCTGACTCCACAGGTATACATTTTTGAATTATACCGACATGTTTTTGTTTATGATTTTCGGTGTTTGGTACAGCAACATTTATTAGGTATGTATGGGTTGTTTTGGCTTATTTGATAATAAGTTTGTTGTTTTACTGCTTTCTACTTTTTAAAAAAAAAATGTAATGTTAAATTTTGGGAGTAGAAAAGCCCTATAAAAGTCCATCTAAAATCATAAGTAGAATTAAAACCGTTATAATATACATGATGTTCCATTTAAAATGACGGTTTAACCGGAAGTGCTATATAGATGCCGTTATTTTAACGGAGGAGAGCAAACCCAATAACGCTATTGCCGAAATTTTCAAAATTTATATCGAAGTAGTTTCCGATATATACAAATGGGTAGTCACCGTGAGGCACCCTGAATACTAAATGATATATAATTGTTGAACTATAAATGACCTTTTTTTACTTTTTTGAAGGTTGTTTGACAATGGGTTAAAAGCTATACAGAATTGTAGAGGGCACAATGAATTACCTTGGAAGGTACCGCGTGATATAGTTATTTGTGGACTGTTGACGTATTCAGTTTCTCGAAAACACTATTCAATTTATCGTATTCTTGTTCGTTTTCAAACATTGTGTATGTGTACTGCTTATGGGTGGTGTGTTTTGAGTAGTTTTCCTCTGTCGATATACTGTTTTCCCACAATATTTTCATCGTACTCATATTGAAAAATGGTTTCAAATTCTTGTTTTACAGTTTTCCTTTTAGACAATGGTAACTTTTACTGCAATGTATTACTCGCATTTGGTCGGATAATATTTGATACTGAAGGTTTATGGTTTTTAATTGTTGCAACAAGTTCTATGGGTAGAGATTTTTTTTTCACAAACGTTCTTGTAACGAGACCGTCACTGACTTATTATGCAATTTATAAACAACAAACGCATTTACCAAGGTTGTGTCTATGAAGAAGAAAAAAATTTTGTGCCACCATTTATGACTTCTCTGGTCAAGCCCGTAGGGTGCTCGTTTTTGGTCAAATTTATCTACGAAGTTCATTTTCTTATTGTAGTCAGTGAGTAAACTAGGGCGAGGTATTTGAACAAAAGTTCCATCTTTTTTCTTCCTTCTAACTTCCGTAGTAATAGAAGGATGGTGATAATTAGACTGGAGATGAACAGATCTCTTATCGCGCCATTTTACTGCGGTCACTCTTATATTACTCGTGTGCCATTTATATTCTCCTCGTTTTAGATCTTTATCAGGTTTGAACTGAGGCAGATCCTTCCGGTTTGAATTGACCGTGCCAGTAGTAAATAATTTTAGTGAAAGAAAATCTTGCAGGAGATTCACCGAAACAAAAAGTTGTCAAAAAATGATTTTTATTTATAAGCGGGGCCGTCAATGTTTTTACAACTTTTTCTATCCCATTTTCTGTATTCCCAGTGTATATCTCAAAATTCCAACAATGCCCCGTTTCATCAGCTAATATCCACACCTTATAGCCCCTTTTGATGTTTTTTTTAGACAAATATTGTTTTAGAGAAGAGTGTCCTTTAAATTGTATCATTGACTCGTCTACGTCAATGTTCTCATGAGGCTGTAGACATGACTGAAAATTAGTTTTTAATAAATCAAGAAAAGGCCGTTATCTGTTATAATTACCGCGTTCAGACATTATGCTGTTATCATGTAGATGGACGTGCGTAAGAAGCCAGCCGAACCTATGTAGTGTCATTAGTTTGTTTATGTACGGATCGTGAAAATCAGGAGACGAACTCCAATGGTCTCTAAGCTGGGGTACTTTTTTATACCCATTAGAAGATTAATATCTAAAAATGTTTTAATTTCCGTAATATCTGTCTTAGCATATGGTTTTCCCGAAGCTAGAATATCGTCAGTGAATAGCGAATTAAACGCTTCAAAAAGATTCAAATGTTCGTTATCTTCATAAAAGTGACGAGGAAGTCCAATATTGCAAATGAATTGCTCCGGTGGATTGATATTGTTTAGATGATTATTCTAAATTATTGAGTTCTGTTTTCTATATTTTTGTGTCAATGTCGCTAATGGCACTATGTCGTCTGGATCCTATTCTTCAGACGATTCATTATCCGAACCAGATAACACAATTGTGGCATCACTACAAATACCAGGTTTGGAGTCATACCTTGTACTACCAATTCATCGTTTTCTTCATCAACGTCGCTGTCATTGTCGGAACCGCCGAAAGGAATTGAGGCACAGTCATTTCCAATTTTATCTATTTCATCATATAATTCGTCTTCTGTCAGCCCAACTAACTTAAAAGTTACTGGTTGCCTCCTTCGACTCATGTTGCTATTGATTGGTACGGTGGTACTATTTATCTACACTAAACATAATGACAAAAAACCGTCACGTAAATAACGTGTAGGAATAAAAAAAATTACTTTTCCTCCTTTATCTGCCTCAGTAGGATACGATTCTTTTAATTTTCACAATAATAACATTAAAAACGCTTCTTTATTATTACCAGTAACCTGTACAAATCGTACACGATGAAAGGATGCAAATAAGTGGTGTAAAATTGCAATCATAACTCACGTATACCCTTAGAAATTGCATCACCAGACCCTTAAAGATCGAATGGGACGCCTAGATATGTGGTACAATGTTTAAACCGGTGTGCCTATTCGAAAACGATTTTTGTTTTAGTGGTATATACTTTACACCACCATACTTCTGAGATGTACAAAAAAGAGGTTTAATTTGTGATCCACCGTACTTGAAAGAGATATCCGACGTATGCTGATTTGTTAATATTTAGTGTTAGTTGATTTCTGTTCATCCAGAAAGAAATTATGACTAAGTGAGCGCTCATCGTCCTTTGGGTTAGTGTCCAATCCTTTCCATGTACGACCAAGACAGTATTGTCTTCAAAGGAGAACACTGTGTGTGATGGTAGTTCGTTAAACATATCAATAATAGATATACATAGAAAGAGTAAGGGTCCAAGAATAGTTTATTGAGGTACACCGATATTAAGTGTTAGAAATTCACCATACCTATGTATTCTGTATAGTCCATTCAGTTAATTTTGCTGATTTTGGATTTTAGAGTCAAAATTGTAAATTTTTCACTTTATTATTTATTATTGGATCAATAAATCTACTAACTCGTATACTTTAAGGAAGAGAAAGATACCTTTATTTTTCTCGGCTAGTGACAGGCAACGTACACTACTAGTACTTTATAAAATTTGTGCATCTGTCTCTCCATTTAAACAGTTTGTAGAGTGTGTCTCATTTATTACAGTAAAACCATTTGCTTCATGAATCTTGAATAAACTACAGTGACGTTCACATGTTTTTTACTCGTACACTTAATATGATTTTTAAATAAGTGAACAAAACTACCTTTTCCAGTGTATTTAAATAACATATTTACAATATAGATATTGCCAAAAGTTGGAGCACAGTAAATGATAATGAAAAGGTAATTATGAAAATAAATAGAAATAATATAATAAAAATAGAAAGTGTAAGAGATGGTGACTCATCTTCTTCAGAATCTGTTGAATTCCATTAGTTTCTATTACAAGGAGTTCACATTCTAACAGAATTTCTCTCGAAAAATCTTCCTCGATCAGTGTTTTAGTTTTTCTAACAGTTTTGCAGTACATCTCTTCTGTGTTGTTTCTGAGGCTTCCTTCCACACCGCAAGCATGTTTTCATCTTTCAAGCCATCTCGTCTTACGTATTTTTCGTAATAAGTTTTAGCTATGCCCCAGACCATCTCAGTTGGATTATATTGACAAAGATAACGGGGAAGCCTCAGAACTTTATGTCCGTATTGTAGGGCCATAGTATCAATAATGTATTCCTTCTTTCGTTGCTGTATTTTACAGAGGGACAAGAGTTCTACATGGGTTAATGCTTTATCAGATTCAATATTGGTGTAGCAATCCTATTTTGAACACAAGTA